ATCTGTATACTGCTTTTAACATTTTGGGCCTAAATTACAGTTAATAGTTCCCATAGAAGAGGTAATAGGGGAAATAGTAAAATTCAGAACCTTTTAACATTAAAATGCTGTCTAGATTTCCAGCCTCAGCATCATCTCTAGCGGTTTTAAAATCAAAAACACAAAAGCAAGAAGTTGTTTACATGAACACAAGGAGCCAACTTTTGGTGATTGTTCCCAGCACTGCTCTGCAGAGTGCTGTCCGGGTGTGTGTATGAGGGAGAGGACTCTGAGTGCGAGTGAAGGTAGGAGATGCTCCCAGCTCTGCTCCATAGAGATTTGCCTGTACGTACGGCTCTGCCACGGCTGTCTGGACTGGGCTGTTCTGATACAAAAATACTTTACACACTTTTCTTATCTGTTATGCGAAAATTCTGATGGAAAATAAGTCTACGTCCAGCAGCCAGAACCTGATGCATGTGCAGAACCTTCTGCATTGAAACTCGTTCTCTTCAGCACTTTGCATTGAGTGAGCGGTAGCTACCTGGGGAGCCGCCGCAGGAGACAGCTTTGCTGACTGGCTCAGGGCAGCATTTTACATCATTTCTGAAATAAAACACTTGGTATCTATTTAGAAAAATTTTAAAGGCAAAAGGTCTCTGTCACAGCGTAGCTGGCCCTTTCAAGGGAGTTAGGTCCAGCCCCACCTGTGATTAAGCAGCTGTCTCAATACTGAAGCTGTGAGGCCGGGGTCAGGTGCGAGCTGGAAGGTTGCTTGGTCTTTCTGAAAGCCAGAGAGTTGCTCACTTGGGATGGGGCGCAGCAGTGGGTAGGGAGTTGAGAGACCTGGCTGGGGATACCTACTGCATAGGTGGCATCAGAAGCCCTCTGAGCAAAGGCCTTATGAGGGGCCGGGTGGCAGGACCTGTGTACCTGTTTTGATTGATGTTGAACTGTGTTTGTGTTTTAACAACAAGTACGTCCTTGGGGAAAGAGAAAGAAACACTGAGGGTAGGGAAGCTCTACTGATGCACCTGCTGCCTAACATGAGAATGGGTAAACTGAGGGAGGGTCTGACACTGTGTTTGGGGAGACCCCGGTACAGCTTCTTTCCAGAGTGAGTGCAGCACATCTCTCCTGTGGAGTCTGTGTCATAAATATAAAGGGAAGGGTAAACCCCTTTGAAATCCCTCCTGGCCAGGGGAAAACTCCTCTCACCTGTAAAGGGTTAAGAAGCTAAAGGTAACCTCGCTGGCATCTGACCAAAATGACCAATGAGGAGACAAGATACTTTCAAAAGCTGGGAGGAGGGAGAGAAACAAATGGTCTGTGTGTCTGTCTATAGTCTGTCTTTGCCGGGGATAGACCAGGAATGGAATCTTAGAACTTTTAGTAAGTAGTCTTGCTAGGTATGCGTTAGATTATGATTTCTTTAAATGGCTGAGAAAAGAATTGTGCTGAATAGAATAAGTATTTCTGTCTGTGTATCTTTTTTGTAACTTAAGGTTTTGCCTAGAGGGGTTCTCTATGTTTTGAATCTAATTACCCTGTAAGGTATCTACTATCCTGATTTTACAGAGGTGATATCTTTACTTCTATTTATTTCTATTTCTATTAAAAGTCTTCTTGTAAGAAAACTGAATGTTTTTTTCATTGTTCTCAGATCCAAGGGTTTGGGTCTGTGGTCACCTATGCAAATTGGTGAGGCTTTTTATCCAACATTTCCCAGGAAAGGGGGGGGTGCAAGTGTTGGGAGGATTGTTCATTGTTCTTAAGATCCAAGGGTCTGGGTCTGTAGTCACCTAGACAAATTGGTGAGGCTTTTTGCCAAACCTTGTCCAGGAAGTGGGGTGCAAGGTTTTGGGAAGTATTTTGGGGGGGAAAGACATTTCCAAACAGCTCTTCCCCAGTAACCAGTATTTGTTTGGTGGTGGTAGCGGCCAATCCAAGGACAAAGGGTGGACTATTTTGTACCTTGGGGAAGTTTTGACCTAAGCTGGTAAAGATAAGCTTAGGAGGTTTTTCATGCAGGTCCCCACATCTATACCCTAGAGTTCAGAGTGGGGGAGGAACCTTGACAGTCTGCTTCCTACTGTAGCATTCAGTCTGGGTGCCAGTGCCTTCCGGAGGTGATCCCAGGAGAGGAAGGAAAGTTCTCCGTGTAGCGAACAGAGGAGCACTTACAGGAAGTGAGCTGTGCCCAGAGGACACTGCGCAGCCTAGAAGTTATTACAATAAGAGACTAATGTCCAAAAGACGGCAGTGCTTCCAATGGACCAGTCAATGGACATTAACAGTGCAGTTCTGAGAAATGATTGAAGTCAGGCTCCTGTTTCCTTATTTAGGCACCTAAATAAGTGGAAGCTATTAGGTGTTCATTGCTTTTGAAAATAAGGCCACTGTATGTAGACACCTAACTTTAGCCCCCCTCCCCACCCCCAATATCTTGGCCAGAGCACATGCAGCAACAGCATCTTCAGAGGTAACATAATACCATAAATGATGGGTCTCTACAAGCCTTCCCAGCCTTGGAGCGTTGCTGAGGCCCCACAAAGCATTTGCAGAATATGTTTTATTGCTTTATTTTTGAGTTGCAACTAACAGAACTATTATGAGAAAAACAGTTACTGGAGAGATCTGAGAACAACAGACTAGCACATGCCTTGAGCAACAAACAGCACTTGCGTTTTCTGTTTTGTTTTGTTTTTAATCATCCATCTCGGGAGTGTCTGTCAGTGATGAATGATGTGACAAAAGTATCATCATTAAATTTCAAATTCTGAAAACTAAATAAATTAGTAATTGCACAATTTTCCCCTGCCTTTAACTTCCATAGAGCATTGCTGTCTTGGCTCTCCTATAGCAGTCTGCTGCGTAGTGACCGGTTTAGCTTTTGTCTGAGACACACTACCCTGTATGGACAACATGGTGCAGTGATACATGCAGAGAGGAATCAGCACTGATTCCATTACATCTGTGCCATCCTCTTCTTTTTCTCCTGTATGGATAAAATTTAACTGGTGCTGATCACTGGCAACTCAACTTTCTCTGGGTTCATCAGGACATCTTAAAGTTCCCCCTGTGACCCTAGAGCCCTTCAGTGCCAACTAGCAAAGGGTTTGTAACAGCAACTCCTCTCAGGCCTGACACACTCATGACACCTAACACATTGGTGCCATAGTATTTATATGTAAAGAAGGTTGTGCGAGATCATAAATGAAAGCTTATATCATACTGGTCATCAGAAGCATTGTGAGATGTCTGTATGGATGTCAAGAAGTTTTTTATATGCAAGGATGTTTAAAGTAAGTAACCAGGCAGGGTGATAAACAATGTTTTCACACATAGGAATGTTAATTTACCTGTCTACTTGGTAAATTAAGCAGGGTAAGCCTAAACCAATGGGAAATACATTTGTATCTGAGGTAAACAGGACAAACAAGTTAACAGGAGGAAAGCAGGGTGAAAGCAGATGGCATCAGCTCACTGTAGACAGACCAAGCAGCAGGAGAGAAGACCTTTATCTGGGGATATGCTTCAAAAGGATACATTTCAAAGGTTTTCTGGACTATAAGAAGGGGGAAAGGACCCCTTTGTTATGCATCACTGAGGGAGTAAAAAGGAAAGCACTTTTTGCATCCATGAAAGTTGGATCCTAGCCCTGGGGACTGGTGATGCTGAAGGGTTGCTTTAGGTGAAAAACTTATCTTAGATAAAGATCTTAACTTGTTAGAAATTATTATTAGTCTCTCAGTCGCGTGGTATACTTTTGGTTTATTTGTTACCACATCTGTTTCCAATACCCTCGCTTTATATCACTTAAATCTCTGTTTTCCTAATAAATTTCTGCTTGTTTTGTCATAGGTACATCTCAGTGCTGTAATTTCAAGTAAAGTGTGAATCCTGAATTGAATGTGTACAACGTCTCTTTGGAGACAGTGAACTTGGTAATTTCTGTGAGTGTCCAGTGACAGGAGCTGGGTACTCCAAGGGAACGCTCTTCAGGGGACTCTGGTATTGGGCTGCACCAAGTATTACCTGCTAGGAAAAGTAAAGCAAACCTTTGGAGGAGATTGTCTGGCTGACTCTGAGGGTCAGGGACCTGACGTATAGTTTTACATCAGCAAGTCTCTCTTTTGCTGAGACAGAGGTATATCAAAGTGAGTCAGTTCTGGGTGCCCTGTCTCATTGTGCTCTGTGGTTCTAGCTGCCCAGTCTGTTCTCTCTTTAGGCCTTTGTGTTTTCTGCTTTGCTGCTTTGTTTTATTTTTGTCCAGTCCATCCTTCATCACTCTGTTCCTGGCCCACTCCCCCCAATAACAAAGGCTCAAGGGGAAGAGTAGAAAAAGATAATACAATATATGAATTTATTTAATTAGCAAACCCTGTAGTTGTCGCTGCAGTCTACTCTAACTCTGGTGTTCATAAGCGTTAATAGGAGTGTCAAAAATGTGCACTTTTCTTCAGGTTTCTTTATATAATGTATAAAGATCAAATATACGTGGCGTGCAGACATCAGCTGAAATAAGGAAATGATATACAGTAAACAAATTGCAAACCACACCAGCTGAAGAGCAATTAAACTTGATGGGTACCAGGGGGATATTCACTCACAAACAGATACACGTTCTTTAAAACTCTTAGGGCTGCCACAAACAATGCACTTTTCTGTGGAGCTCTCTGGATACATTTATAGCTTTTTAAACATTATGCACCAGCTCTAGTTTCCCATGGTTTTCTCTGCTCCCAATTCATAACAACCCAGGCAAAATGAAGTAGATCAAAGGGAGCTGATCATTTTGTGGACAATTGCAAACGCACGTCCCGTCATCACCGCCAACCCCCCCCCCCCCCGCAAATAAACATCCAGGACTTGGCCAGTGCTTTCCTGGGCTCTCTGTGCTGTTACTAAAAATATTTTTTGCTTTACCATAGGACTCTCTCTAGTGCCACTCTCTACCATTGGTGGTTTCTGAAGGAACAAAAATACATCTAGATCTGCATGTGAAAATTGCTTCTCACCTGGTGCAGGCAGGCAGGATTGAAAGGCACAAATGGGATCTGCCAGATTTCAGAAATCACGAGGAAGAAGGTATGGAATGGCTTGAACGAGTTCCATCATTTTTATAAGAATTTCTCTGATGTCTGTGATCAGGTCCCTTCCCTGAATGGTCTGAATCAGAACTATTCTTTTCTCAATGATCTCGCAGCAGCAGTGCACATCCTTGTGGCCAGGAAACCCAATACTGCACCTCCCCACCCCCATCTCATGGGGTTCTGGGGACACTGTCTGGACACTTGCAGCTTGTTCCGAATGTGGCAGCATGTTTGCTCACTGTGCTGAGCAACCATGCGCATAATACACCCAGCCTGTGCTCTCTGCCACGGCTACCTACAAAGCCACAGATTTGCTTCCAGCTGGCATTGTTGGTTTTCAAGGCTTTTCAGAGCGCTATCCTTGGTTATATTGAAGAGCCTTCCCTGAGCTCATCCTGACAACTTACGTCTGCAGGCAGAAACACCCAGGCTGTGCAGCTCCTCTGAAAACTTCTGTTTGCAAGGGGATGTTTTACTGGGATCTCTGCCAGCCCTGCTTGTAGCCCTTCTCTGTTCTGCCCTTGTACAACTCTGTCTATTTGTCTTTTAGTTGAGGGTTTTGTGTTAATTGCTGTATTCGTTATTTTTGTAATGATTTTGTTATATTTAATCGTTGTACAACACTCTGAGCACTGGGGCCAGGGGATGGGGTTAATCATAGAATATCAGGGTTGGAAGGGACCTCAGGAGGTCATCTAGTCCAACCCCCTGCTCAAAGCAGGACTGATCCCCAATTAAATCATCCCAGCCAGGGCTTTGTCAAGCCTGACCTTAAAAGCTTCTAAGGAAGGAGATTCCACCACCTCCCTAGGTAACGCATTCCCATGTTTCACCACCCTCCTAGTATAAAATTAATAGGCATCATAATCATTAGAGGAAGGAGGCCTTTGGCCAGGTGTCAGCTTTCTACAGGACCGTCACTTTGTTTCCTTTCAAAGCATCTGCACAAAGTTTGCCGCTGCCAGGTTTGGTCATGAAAACTTAGATTTTGACACCTTTTGCCAAACTTTCCCCCATGTACTCTTCTAGCTCGAGGTAAAGCTACAAGGGATCACCGGCGCTATGACATGGCACCTAATCCTATTTAGTTCACTGGAATTTACATAAAGCCAACACTTGCTATTCTTGACAGCATAGCAAGTCTGCCTGTAGACTCTTGTACATTTTTTCAGATATCCATGAGGAAAGGTAACCGTTATTATACATCATCATCTTGCTGTGAAGCAAACAATCCATCATACTGCACAGCAAGCCCATAAGAAAACCAGTGTTAATCCATTTGCTGTGAGGCTTCCCCTATTTAGCCTAGAGATTCTTTTCACTAAGAATTCACTCAGAGTGGAATCCTTTGTTTCTGAGAATTCCAACATTCCTGAGCTCTTTTCCTCTTAAGCATGAGCTAATGTACATGCAATGTGTTGCTGCTCTGAGGTTTGTAGTCAGAGAGCTAGTTTTAGGCAAATGCATCTTGTATTCACATAAAGTCAACAATGAATACTGGCCACCGCATGGAAAATAATATCTGAATTCAGGCAAATAGAAGACTTCCCATAATGCCAAATTTATATTTTTTGTGGTTTTAAAAGAAGGTTTTTGAATATACAGTGGGAACTGTGTAGCTGAGTCTTATTTATAGCGCTGTTCTGTCTGGTTCATTTCCTCTAACTTCCCTACAGAATGATATGAATGAAAATGACACTATTGACTATATGGGTAACAATAAAAGACCTTATAGAAACAAGATTTTTATAGTTTCAGGACTGAGGGAATCAAAAGCCTAAGAGTTATGGTCCTAGAGAACAGGGAAATAATCAGGCTGAGCTAGTTGAAGAGGTCCCTGTGGTGGATCTTGTGTGGTGGTGTTTTTTAACAAAAGCTACAAACTCATAAATAAAGTGATTGCCTAAAAAGACTTACATGGGCATAGAAACTTTAGGTCGGATGGCCATAAATCTTGGTATCATCTGCTGCTGAGCTACAGAGCACAGTGAAATGTAACAGCTCCCTCTTTTTAAAGAGGGAATACATTTTTAAAAATCCTTAATTTCTCATTTAATCAGTTATTCAGTTTTTTATATATAGGGAAGTGCATTGCAGAACAGGTGGGCCAGCTATCCCATGCCACCAGCAAGGGAGTCGCACCTAAATATGTCCAAAGAGACACTGTATTATTAATACATGCAGCCAGAAATAAAAAAGGAGAAACATGAAAACCTGCAGTATTTCCCAAGCACTGCTCCAAGGTGTAGTGTTGTGACAAGGACCACTCTACAGGCAGCTAAGTCAGGCAAGTTAATGTATTTGCTGGCAGCACCCAGAAGGCGCTGGCCATTCTCCAGACACATGGTCTTCACCAGAGAGGTTGCTGCGTGAGATTTGGGATGAAGAAAGTTCAGAGTTCAGCTTTAGCCAAGATGAGTTTAGGTTGATGGCAAGAGGCGTGGACAGAGCCCACTGGAACTCCCTGCATTCTAAGCAAGGGATGGATGGGCCCCTGTGACGCCCCTTCACTGGCAGCTTGAGAGGCAGCTGCAGGGGGCCCTTTATAATCAGTCATACCTGTAGCTCCTCCACACGTGGAACATCCATTGCCTGTCCAAGGGCCTTATTGCACTAGGCACTGCACAAACATATGAGTTGACTCCAGTGGGAGTTCCACACACAGAGAGGCCTGCAAGTTAGGGGCCTACATTTATTTTTTCAACTCGCAAGAGCATTTGTTTTTTGAAAGTAGAATTTGCCCTATATGGGTGGATGGTATGAGCAGCCCTAGACATCACTGAAACATAATGAAACAGAAATATACAAACATCATTACTTTTTTGGTATAATTTCAAGCTATGCGTAAAGCATGAACCCAGTGTACAATAACGTACCGGTAAAATTACATACAATCAGGTATTGCCTAAGATGTACACTCAGTGTTAATCACCATTAATAAGTGCTAGCTCGTGGCCAGCTAGTTACTGCTACCCTGGCAGTTAACAACATACATACACACTAATGAATGCTTAGAAGAAAGTCATCAGAAGACAAACCCAAAAGAAGAATTACCACAGAAATAATGTGAGACTGGCAAATAGCAAAGAAAGCAATCATAGAATTCTCATGGAATGTAACTATGTGCTGTCAATAGAAAACAATATGCATAACATCAAAAATTCTGCACGGTTGCTTATAACAAATAAATGTTTTACAGGTACTAGGGAGTTCTACTTGACAAGCTGCATTTCTGACAGCATCTTTGAGAAGCAGATGATGGGGGGAGGTGGGGGTGGGGGGCTTTCTCAGTGCCTGTGCACGTGCAGCTTTACTGTTTTAATTTAATTACTTCTTATTTACTGACCTGTAATGTAAATGATTGTACATTCTATAGATTACACTTATGGGAAATTAAATGAAACTAAAAAATACTTTAAAATGTGGATCAATAGCCCAGAGTGACACAGGATGCGTGTCTACGCCAAGCCTAGGTCTGAATTTAGTATCACTAAACAAGGCAGAGCTGGGATCTCAGAATTCACACTGACTGAAGCCGTGAGTTTATGGATCTTGATTACACCCAGCAGGGTATCCTTCTTAGTGATGAGAGAAAAAATATTCAACAGCCTGGCTTTTCAATATACTGTCACTGCTGTAGAGGTAGAGAAAAAGACAGATCGGTTTCTGTGTATATTGTTTCCTCTCCGTGCTTGAAATTTTGGCTTTTCTTTTAAATCATCTGTGGTTTCTTTATTTTTGAACTATATTGTAAAAATCATGAAAACCCTGCAATAATTATTACTGAGGAAGCACTTTGAATACAGGGCCCTATTTTTAGACATACATTTCTAGGTGAATTGCACTACATTTGTTCCCAGCCCAAAGGTGATTTTTGTACATGTGCCATGTTTACTACAGTTCTGTTTGACCATTTCTGAGAGGAGCTTTCCATCCTTTAAAATATTTCTAGATTCTTTCCCACACTGGTAACTAATCAATGGTTATGCTTTAAAATTTGTAGCTGAGAAGAACACAGTCCCCAGTGAGGAATAGCCACTGTGGTAAACTTGAATCAGTTTACTGAGCTGTGAGTGGCCAGCTCAATAGCATATGTTATGATCCTTATGATAGGTGCACAAAATGTGGGATATCAGAATATCAGTTCACTGAAATTAATGATTGTATTTTGGTTATTGCACATTCAAATAAATGCAATTGCATTTATTTCACTTTGCAGTCATTCAGGGGAGTGGTGGGGTTTCTTGTTATTTAAACCAAGGAAATTAAATGAAAAAACCTACATTCATGTAAAATTATGGCTGAGTTTCTTGAATTTGGGGGTGTATAATTCTCAGAGAGAGGGGGCACCCACAGTTACCATAACTTTACAGACATTCTGTTAGAAAGTTATACCATAGAAGTTAGAGATGAAAAAGGCCTATTAAATCATCCAGTTTATTCCCCAGAGGCCCGTGCAGGATTATTCTTTACACTATGTTGAGTAGTGCTTTGTCCAGTCTAGTTTTAAATGTCTCCTGGGATCGAGCTTCTACCTTGTATCATCATATACAGTCATAGGAAATAGTAGCCAGGGGCTCCATGGCTGGGTTATGGTTACTGTGGGAACCATAACTTTGAAATTCCTGGCTTTTGTGTGTGTGTAAAATTGGAAGCATAATATGTCCAGAATATAGGTTTTTCATTTATTACAAATTGATAAAACTGTATCAGAACATGACATTGAAAAATTAATCAAATGAACCTTGCATCATCCTTCTACTTGTTCAGTAGATCAGAACATAAGCGGATGTCTACATAGGGCTGAATTTAGCACCATGAAACGAGGCAATGCTGGGATACCAGCATTCACGCTGATAGAAGCTGCAAGTTTATGGATCTTGATTACACCCAGCAGGGAATCCTTCTTAGTGATGAGAGAAAAAATATTCAACAACCTGTCTCTCCACTGTGTCTGTTGGACACACTTCTCTGATTTTGAATTAGACATATGCAAGTTGTGGGAGTAAGACTCCTTGTCACTAATCCAGAAATCTTTTTCTAGACATTACCAATGTCAGACAGTAGTTCAGACATAAAAATCTGATGCCACAGGCTAGTAAAAATAGAAAAGTAACTGAAAAAAATTGCTTTAGCCCTTGTCCCTTCTCTGATGACATCCTCTCCCTCTCCTTTCTTTGTCATCTGGGCAGGTTGGTACTGGCACGGTTTTGCTAATAAGGAATAAAGCA